CAGAACCATATCCTCATGGCAGAACTCTAAGGTCCTTAACTTCATCTGGACACATCTGAGTTTCGAGATCCATACCTGCCCCTCTGCCTCAGAATCTTCGTATCAACAAGTTAGTAAAGGTTCCTTTGTATTTGTATTACCAGACACTTAACGAGAAAAGGACAATTATCACAGATCACACTTCAATCTTAAAGATTTGAACAGATAGCCGGGCGATGGTGGCGCACGCCTTTAATCCCAGCACTCGGGAGGCAGAGGCAGGTGGATCTCTGTGAGTTCGAGGCCAGGCTGGACCGATAGCCTCCAAAACAATACAGAGAAACCCTGTCTCATAAAAACCAAAAAAAAAAAAAAAAGATTTGAACAGATATAGACAACTTACTTCTTTTGTTACATAGCCTAATAGTTGATGTGTAATAATGACTCAGACATGATCTCATTGAGTAGATAATTAATTTGAGATCCTTAGAAGGACCCGATAGAGCAACCAAAAGAAAATATCAGGTGATACATAACCTGAAACGGAAGAAAGACTCCTAGCCTGGAGATCTTTGGGTAAATGACACTGACCAGATAATTTTACAGCAGAGAGTACAGAGACCCCAAAGATGAAAGGTGTTCTATGGTTAGAAAACTATTGAGGCCAGGCGGTGGTAACTCACGCCTTGAATTCCAGCACTTGGGAGGCAGAGGCAGGAGATCTCGGTGAGTTCGAGGCCAGCCTGGTCTATAGAGTGAGTACCAGGACAGGCTCCAAAGCCACAGAGAAACCCTGTCTTGAAAAACCAAAAAGAAAAGTATTTAGATTCACAAACCTGTACTTCAACGCTGCTTGTGACTACCACAAAAACGCCTTACCATACAAAAAGTACTGATCCAAAGAGAAATACTTCAATTAGTGTCTTCAGAGATACTCTGCAATGTACTGCATTATAAGACAAAGAAGGACTGAGTAATAACAAAACCAGCACAGGACTCACCCCGAAGCAGCTTTCATGACCAGGTCCAGAGAGATGACTCGGCAGGAAAGGGTGCTTGCCACACAAGCCTGAAGACCTGAACTGGACTCCAGAACTCACAGAAAGGTGCAAGGAGAGCACACTCCAGAAAGTTCTCTTCTGACCTCACAGGCTGGCAACCACCCACACTCCCCCACACACTGACAACCACAAGCTCTCTGGCATGCATAACAACACCCCCCCCCCCACACACACACCAATAACAAAGCTTTCAAAACAAAAGAGTTCATCACCAAAGAGCAAGTTAAATCCAGCCACACTGAATGATGGCACCAACCTCAGCAAATGGTCCACCATTTTACTGGCTGTCTATATGAGGAATTCCTATGGCCTTCTTCTTTTTAACTATTTTTCCTTTTAAAAAGAAAATACTTTAAAGAGTTTTAAAGCAGCAAAGGTTTACAAGTTTTTTAATTAAACTCTTAATATATACATACCATCTGGGCCAGCAAAGGGGCTCAGTGCGTAAAGATACTTGCCATGCAAGCCTGACTGCCTGAGTTCAATCCTAAGAATCTAGAGTCACCTGGGAGATGGGGCCTCTGGGCACGCCTGAGAGGGATTATCTTCATAACATTACCTAAGGTGGGGAGACTGTCCACTGTGAGTGGCATCATTCCCTCACCAGGACCCTGGACTGCATACATAGAGAAAGGAAGCTAAACAGAAGTGAGCGTCCATCACCTCTGCCTCTCAAGTATGGTGATGTGACTAACTGCTTCAAGTCCTACTGGCTGCCCTGACTTATGTGCCATGATGGCGCTAGGATACACCTTTATCCCCTTAAGTTGCTTTTGTTAGAGTAGTTTATCACAGCAATAGAAAGTAAAACACCAAGTAAAAGTAAAAGAGGAAGATGCTCTTCAAGGTTGACCCTCTGATTTTCACACCCATGTCAAAAAATGTGGGTGCCCAGACAGACACAGACACACACACACACCATACAGCAGTAGATTATTGTAACATAAAAATCTTAATTTACAGCAGTTGAGGATACCCCTAACTTAGATATTTTCCCCAAACCTTGTTAAAATAACCATTTTATCAGCACTAACAGCCAAGCAGTGATGGCATTGTGGCCAGCACAGCTGCTTGGGTTACTGAAAACTTACCCCACACATGCATATATTTACTTTCCAGTCCTAGCTGTAGTCTTAAGAGTCAAGTATACATTCACTTTGGCTAGCACTTACAATGTAGAGTGACATTTTATCAGGTAAACTAGCAAACTTAGATGCTTCTGGCTGGACAGGAATGACAACCGCACTCTCCTGAAGTCTTTCCAAACTGTCTGTTCCCATACAAGAACAGTGGAGTTCAGAGCCGAGGCTCATCTTAGCCTAAAAGGATTGAAGGGTGCCTGTTACCTCACACACAACTCCTTCTAGATCCCTACAGCACAGGATACTGGAGGTCACAATAGCATGTATACCTTAGAGAGAAAGTTAAGTGTAAAAGGGGTGAGATGCCTTCAAAGACAGACCTCATCCATTCTCATTAATGTAAGAAATATTTTCAACCTGCTATGCTGTGGGTGCTAGAGTGCCACAGATGCACTCTGGGGATTGAAGGACATTTGGTGGGAGAAAGAAGTAAGGACCGCCATGGAAGCACTTAAGAATAAGAATCCTAGATGAGGTGCCAAGCTGTGACCTAAAGGACAAGAAGTCAACCACCAAGAGTAGTGTGGCCTCATAATACTAGACTGTCACCGAAGAGATCCAGAAACAAATGATCAGTGTTCGGAACCTGGAAAGGATTTCCTTTGTCCAGGGTGCAACTTATGAAGACACAACAGGACTGCCGAAGGAACAGAGCCAGGAAGGCACTGTTCAAGGACTTGACTCTCAAGAGTGATGCGAACACAATGTTTTATGAAAGGAAGAGACACAGTCCACCTTAGAAAATGCTCTCAGAGGGAAAAAGAGAAAGATGTTCTGTGCTGCCAGTGAGAAGAACACATGAGAACGCACAGCTGCCTAGACGAAACCAGACCATCCCACAGGGAAGGCTTGCTTTATCTAAGCAGACAATGAACTAAAGCAAATGTAATAAAAACATGGCTGTACAACCTGGGCTCCTGTGATAGGTAAAGAATTTATAGCATCTGGGGGGTCAAAAAGTAACACATTTGCTTTATGAGTCGCTCAAGTAAATAAATAAATGAGACTGATTAATAAATATCACTAATATCCCATTTAATTAACTTCTCCAAGGTTCATTGTAAACTAGCTGCTTTGACCTGTTCCCAAGGACAAAGCAACATAAAGGTTAAAGCAAGAATATGATGTTTTCTCTTTAAAGATATTATGTCTTTGAACTCACAAATCAGTTTTAGAATCATCTCAAAAGTGAGACAAACTATATTCCTCACGATGTGATATAAAACAGTGAAGTACCAGGTCATATTCTTATCTAGAGATTTCAACCTGAGGCTCAGTGAGTAGAGCACCAGCCAAACAAGCACAGGAACCCTGGCCTACATGCCCAGAACCCGTGGAGAACTCCACCCAGCAGTGCATATGCCAGCACTTTTACAGTGAGCTGAAACAGGAGAACTAGAAGATCATGGGCCAGTTAGCGGGTGTATGCAGCAGCGAGCAAGAGACTATCTCAAACGAGGGAAGGAGAGGACCCAACACACAAGGCTGTCCTCTGACCTCTATGTCAAAGTCATGGCACTTACAAACCCATACTCATAAACAGAAGATGCGCACCCAAAGATTTCAAATCCAGTAACAACAGAGATGATCCGTAAGTTAGACAACTTAATTTTCACCCGGTGGTAGTAGTACACACCTTTGATCCCAGCACTTGGGAGGCAGAGGCAGGTGGATCTCTGTGAGTTCGAGGCCAGCCTGGTCTACAGAGCGAGTTCCAGGACAGCCTGGACTGCTACACAGAGAAACCCTGTCTCAAAGAAACCAAAAACAACTTACTGTTCACAATAATCCAAAAGCACACTCAAAATTAAAATCTAGAGAATCCTGCTATGGAATTATACAATAACTAAATGTAATAGAATTCTTTATGGATCCCAACCAGTCAGAAAATGTGAACACAGTCTAATACAGTATCCAAGTAACAGGTAATATCAAAAATAATTCTGCTCATCTTATTAAGCCTTAATAGTAAGTAAGGTGTTGCTTTTTATTTTTACATTTATTTGTTCTATGTATGTATCCACATGCATGTGTCCATGAATGTGGCACTCAAAAGGCAACATGAAGGAGTCTGCTCTCTCCTTCTACTATATGGACCAGGGGATTGAACTTAGGTCACCAGATTTAGCAGCAAGTGTTTTACCTGCTGAGCCTTCTCACTGGCCCTTTTAGGTGGTTTTTAAAAGTTCTTATCAGTTAGAAATGTATATTTACTATTTGAAAAAGAAAGGCCAAGGGTTGCAGAGATGGCGCAGCAGTCAACAGCACTCGCTCTCTCGCAGAGCCTCAGTTCAGCTCCCAGCACCCACAGCTCACAGTGGGAGCTGGCAGCCACTTATGTCCTCTGTGAACACTGCTTGCACAGGTGCACAGATGTGCAGACAAACACTCATATGCATGAAGTGAAAACAAATACATCGTAAGAGAGAGAGTACAACCATCTCAGGAGTCGGACTGCAGAGCTTCACAAGGGATGAGGCTCATCCTTATACTAAAACCCAAAGTAGGGCAGGTGATGGACAAGGCCACTGGCAGTGCTCATCATCACTACTGCCTCTCCACCCCCTCCTCCTTGCTGGTCACGGCATCCTGTTATCAACAGACATGATGGACAAGCTACCCTTACCATTGAGTGTGCATGGGAAAGCAGTTGGGATTGGGAGGGTTTGGGAACGTCCATTCCACAAAGTGGGGTGCCCAGACATGGAGATCACACTAATCCTAACTCCTGACAGAGCCACAGACTGAATCTCAGAAGGTCGTGCCAGCACAGATGCTCCTCCTGGCGCCGGAGAGCATGGATGTCACTCTCACTGACCTTCCCATGCTCCTTCCTCATGTGAGAGAGATATACATCCCTCTGTGTGAACAGGCGATCACACTCCCAACACGTCCACCCGGGACTGGCCATCTTCTTAGATTCTGTGGACTTCTTTGCAGGAGATGGAGACTTCTTTTCCAGTTTCTCTTTCCCATTCATGGTCTTGGCATCCTCTCTGCTGTGGTTTGCTGAATTCTGCGTTGCAGACTTAATGCTCAAAGGCAAGTTTATACCCAAGTTTGGAGGCCCTTCAATACTTTTCAATGTTCCATGCATAGACTGCATTATAAAAAGAGAAGAAACGCCTATCACAAACCACACCGATTCAACAGAATGACAATCATTCAGAAAATATTTCCTAAACTAGAACTATACATTTTTAAAAGCATAAAGGAGCAGTCAGACATGGTGGCACACACCTGTAACCCCAGAACTCATGAGGCAGAGAGAGGAGGGACTCTACACAGCAAGTTCCAGGCCAGCCTGGGCTACAGAGTGAGACAAAACAATTAAATAAATCAAGATGAATTAAAAACAATGGAGCCAAGAGTGGTGGTGCACGCCTTTAAACCCGGCACTCACGAGGTAGAGACAGGCAGATGTCTGTGAATTTGAGGCCAGCCTGGTCTACATACAAGTTCTAGGCAAGCCAGGATGATATAGTAAGAACCTGTCTAAAAAAAAAAAAAAAAGGGGGGGGTAGGGTAGGATAAAGAAACATTAACTTTTTTCTTGTTGGGGGCTCACATGTCATGGCACATGTGTGGAGGTCAGAGGACAGCTTGCAGGAGTTGGCTCTCTCCACCGTGAGAGTCCTGGGGACCAGACTCTGGCCATCAGGATGGCAGCAGGCACCTTTACCCATTGAGTGATCTCACCAGCCCCATAAAGAAGCATAATAAATAACTTTAATGACTGCGATAAGCCATGTTTCCATTTCAATTTATTTATTTTGTGTGCATGTGTTTGTGTGCACAGGTGCACAGCACACATGTGGAAGTCAGGGATCTACTGGGAGCTGAGCATCTCATTCTCCATATGGAATTCAGGATGGTTCTGGAGCTCAAACTCAAGCTGCCAGGTGCCTTTACCCACTGAGCTATCTCACTGGCCATAGTTCCAAACAATTTTTAAAGGCTTATCTATCAGTGCCATTTTAACACTCTCTGAAAACAGGACTCTGTATTGGAACATATTAGTACACGTGCCCCTTCCTGGCCAAGAGCAAGTCCTCTGTGTGGGGACCATTTCTGGAGATGGCTTCACTTTTCCTGCTTGCAGAACTGTGTAAGTGGGCTAATGTGCAAAAAGGCATCCAAGGCCCATGATTCAGCAAGCCATGCTGCTTTTTCACATTCTTGGAATACTTGTATCCTTTAGGTACAGGTACTGCCAGGGTCTGGGTAGTTTTCACCTCTACTAGGAGTGTACTGCCTCTATGAGTGTACCCAGTGGGTACTCAAAAGGTCTTTTAAAATTGTGTAGCTGTTTATTATCATTAATACAATAGTCAACAAACAGCCATCCAAACCCACAGGATTTCAAATGTAGGTGGGATAAAATCAGTACAATTTGATGTTTTTTGCCCCTTTGCAGTCCTAAGCATTGTGTCTAGGGCTGTGTGCATCCCAGGCAAGCACTTCATACTGAGATATGCACTTTCGTACTTCTTATTTTGAGACAGTCTCATCAAGTTGCCCAGGCTAGCCTTGTATTTACTCTATAGCTGACTTAGGAAAGCCTTGAACTTGCAACTCAGTATCTGAGGTTATCAGTCAGTACCACCAGATCCAACTGACCTAAAGACTTTGGTTTTTAGAGTCTGGCTAAAGACATGGGTTATCTGTGAGTGGGACCTTCTCTCCTGATAAGGGGGCAGGTTGTTGGCTTGCTTCGGAAGTACATTCACAGGAGCTGTCCCTTAGGAGCTCTGACACTCAGGTCCCTGTGGTCACCAGACCAGCCCTGAGGACGGCTTGGTTGTCCCCAACTTCCTCCTGAGCTGTCAAGGGGAACATCATTCTAACGTCCCCAGGATGCTTTCTTAAGAAAGGGCTTAGCTAAACAGTTCAGTATTAGTGACCTTCTTGCACACTATCCTTCCCAGGAGGAAAAGGGAGTTGTGTGTAGTTGCACCAGGAGAGGCGAGGCCACAGGTCTCTATGCACACAAGCATCAACTGGCCCGTCCATGGGGCTGAGAGCAATGTCTGACCAGGCCCTCTGAGCAGGGAAAAGCAGGACAGACATTTCCCTATGGTCATACCTGCTTTTCTTCATGTACATGTCAGACTTCCGTGTGCAGAGACAGCAGCTAGTTTGGCCTCAGTACACAACTTACCTGTTTCCACTTGTGTGTGCAAGTGTGTGTGCACAGGTCCACATGCGGCATGTTGAGACCACTCTCTCTCTAGTCCCTGGGTTTTTAACATTTCTAGCCACTTAAAACACAAGGGACAAATCCTCAAGCCCTAAACTTTCTGTAAGTTCCAAGGCAGAAACATATTTCTCCTCCATAGAATAACTCTGGGGACAGAAGTCACCAAGAAGTGGGGATTTCACCAAGATAACAAGAGCACTGGGACATGTGCTGAAATGCAGGTTTCTAAGCCATTTATTGTATATTATTTGTACATTGTAAGCAAAAGTAATACAAAAAATCAACTATCTTTTTAACGAAAGGAATACAATTATGTCTAGCATAGGCAAGGTCCTACATTTGATCTCCAGAACAGTTTTAAAAGAAATACTAATACAGCTTAATTCTTTCAGAAATGATTTTCCTTAGCTCTTGTAACAGCAGCTAACCTGGATGACTGTAAGCTAAAGGTTCTCAATATGTATTCTGGAAGAACAGACATGATAGGAATCAGGTAATAAAGGGTCACCTGAGAGACAGACAGAAAGAGAAAACAGAGCAGGAATGAGTGAGCAAGGGAGAGGAAGGGGGAAGAAGGGGGGAAGAGAGTGTGTATGTGTGTGAGAGAGAGAGAGAGAGAGAGAGAGAGAGAGAGAGAGAGAGAGAGAGAGAGAGAGAGAGAGAGAGAGAGAGAGAGAGAGATCCTCCCCAACATCCCCATTCCAATTCTCCTTCATGACTGCATCACAGGTACCAGGCAATATAAATAGGGAGCAAGTAAGAGATGCATCATTGTAAACACAAAGGTACCCTAAAACATTGTATTTATTCTTACCTACCAAGCACAATGTAACAGGAGTTTAGACACTAGAATGTACTTACAATGAAAACAGCCCCACTGTTTTCTTATCACATAGGTTGGTAAAGGTTCAGATAACTAAAAACAATCCCTCCTCCTACGGTCACAGGGTTATACCATTCTTCCTCAGTCTCTACTCCTGGGCCTGTATTCATCCACATTCACTATTACAAGAAGAACCCCCCCCCCGCCCCGACACCACCCACCCACGCCACTTGTTGATACCAAGTTCCAAAAGGCAAATCTCAGAAGCCTGGGAAGAGGCGACTTCCCCCTCCCTGTCTGCCTCCTGATCACAGGGGGAAAGTAAGAAGCTAGAACCGAACAGGTGCGGAACCAGACTTTAATCCCATTACTTAGGAAGCTGAAGCGGGAAGACTTCTAGAAAATCAAGGTCAGCATAGTTTACATATCAAATTCTAGGCAAGCTAGGGTGGTCATCAAAAGACCCTGTCTATAAAAAAAAAGTTAGGGAGGGAGGGAGAGATGGAGGAAGGGAGGGAGGGAGGGAGGGAGGGAGGGAGGGAGGAAGGAAGGAAGGAAGGAAGGAAGGAAGGAAGGAAGGAAGGAAGGAAGGAAGGAAGGAAGGGATTAGTTAAGAACAGCCTTCGAGACTGAAAATGGAGCATGGTGCCACTTCAGTGGGTGGAGACAAGAATCCAAACAAGACTCTTACACTAACACCCACACCAAGTCCAACACCCAATCTTCCTTAAATATTTAAAACCAGCAACTCATTGAATAAGAGCACTTACTGCTCTCTTGCAGAGGACCCGGGTTTGGTCCCTAGCACCCACACGGTGGCTCACAACCATCCATAACTCCAGTTTCAGGGGAACTGATGCCCGTTTCTGACCTCAAAGGGCACTAGGCATTCATATAGTACACATACATTCATGCAGACAAAGCATGCATACACATAACATAAAATTTAAAAAAAAGATACAGTATAACTATGCAGCTCTGGCTAGCCTGGAACTTGCCATGTAGACTAGGCTGGCCTTGAACTCACAGGGATCCTTCTGCCTCTGCCAATTAAAAGTATGTGCCATCATGCCCAAATTATATGTTATTTTTATAGAGTGAAAAAAAATGAAAGACTAAATCAAATACACGGCAAATTTAAGTGCTTATATAATTTCAATGGGGAAACCTCAATGTTTCTGAATGTATCTATATTTGTATAAATTAGTATAACTCATCATAACTCCTATTTCCTAATCCTGTGTGACAGAGCTCTCAAAACAGAAGACTACAGAGCTGTTAGGGGCACACGCTGCACTTGCAGAAGACCTGAGTTCCATTCCCAGCACCCATGCCACATTGTTCACAATTGCCTGTTCTAGATCCAAGAGAATTATAATCTCTGCTCTCCAAGGGCACTCACATGCATACCCACACACAGATATATACCCATAAATAAAACAAAAATAAACTTCATTTTTCTAAAGAAAACTTCACTGTCATCATTTTCATGTAAATAAAAAGATCCCTAATAACTTTCTATTCTTTTGAACCAAAGCATGCACACCAGCTGCTTTTCAGCAGTCTTTAGGAGACACAGCAGGACTCCTGGATAAATGGCAGCCCAAAGCCAACTGAATGAGGACAGCATGTGACATGGGCCGGTGTCCATCTCTTTCCCTAGATAGTAGCATGCTTTACAGCTTAGTCAGTGCCCTACAACCATGCATGTATCTGCAGCTCGCTGAGACGGGAAGAGAGACGCGCACACACACCTTGATATGGTCCATCATAAGTTGCTTCTGTGCATACAAAAGAGAACAGTCTGGACACTTGAAAACAGACACCTTCTGGTTTTCAATATGCTGGTCAAAGTGGCGATACAGCAAGGTCTGCAGGGTGAACACAGTGTCGCACATGGAACACTTATAGATTATTCTAGAACAGAAGAAGCGCAGCAAGATACAGTCAGTCAGCCTCGTCTTGGTCAAAGAAGCTACATCTTAGCATCTAAGGAACTCAGGAGGTAGAAGCCATTGAAAGAACACACACAAAAGAACATTTTAGCAGTGGTACAAACTTTTCAAGACAACTGGCATCACTCAATCACAGATAAGGCTTCAATTCTAAGACACATTCAGTGACATTTGTTTAGAAATCTCAATCAGTGACCATTTTCTGCCTCATGAGGGTGTTTGTACAAAACCTCCCAATGCTGGTATACACAGCAAGAAACAATCACAATTCTTCTCTCCCTCCCTCCTTCCCATCTTTAAAAAAGATTGAAAAAGGCAATACAACTGAACAGTAGTAGCACCCTAACCTGAAAAAGGATGTGGAGGTGATTTTTTTTGTAAGGTCAAACAAACCAATACAACTCCATCGAGGTCCCGTAACTAGGAAAAGAATTTGATTAACGAACTAAAGACACCCAAACTCTAATACATGGACAACCTGTCCCAACTTTACATTTAAAATTGGCACTTTCACATTTGAGTATCAACCTTTCTATACCAATTTTAACACAGAAAACTACGCCAGTACACAATTACAGAGATAAAAGGACAAAAACACACAGCACAGGAAAACCCAATGCTTCCCAAAAATGGTTAACAGTACTAGACACCATTTCCACACCACAGTACCTGTACACTAGACACTGCTTCCATACCAAATGCCTTATCCAAACGTTCAGCAGACTAGAATCTTCTAAACAAACCTCTTCCACCCACTTAGACCTCTCCTGAAGCTCGGGGACGGGTGTTTGGGGCACTGAGGTGTGTGTATGCAGCCGGGACAGAGCAGTAGTCTCTCCTTTAGGACTGTCCTAGTCATCCTGGTCCTTAGGGAGGGCCTATGGAACTTGTCCCCTTTGAAGAACTGTAGAACAGGGACAAATAGCCTAGGGAACAGCTGAGAATGGGAGACAAACTGGCTGAAGAGAAAGAGGGAAAAGAGGTTTAAGTTAAAAGCTGTGCAGCGAAGCTAGTGAAAGGAAGCCCATGAGTCCATCTGTGTTTTCTGAGTGTGCTCTTAAGATAGCTCCTCACATAGCTTCAAACTCTACTGGGCAATGCAGTCCATAAAGGCCAAACAAAACTGTAATTTAGCCCAGGATGGTGGTGCATGCCTATAATCCCAGCACTTGAGAAGATGAGGCAGGGGAGTTCCTATGAACTCAAGGGCAGCCCAGTACACTACAAATATCATCATGGCCAGGGCTAAACAGCAAGGCTATCCATAAATAAATAAACAAACAATTTAATTTCTTTTAAAATTATAGCTGTAATTCTTCAGCTTTAACACTCACAGAAGACTTTCAAATGTAACCAGAAGATCATGTTTTTCCAAAGTCTTGCCAAATTAGTCACTTTTCACCTTCAACTTAAGATGGGGAGAAAGATCCAGCTCGTTGCTGGCAGGCTTTCCTCATACAGCCCAGTGTTGGACCCTGTGATGTTTCACCATCACAGCAACAGGTATCCAAGGATGCTCATTTCCTTACTGCTTGAAATGGCGTATGTGGTGAAGGCCCTCAGTGTCCAGTGAAATGAAGCATCACAAAGAGCAACTACGTGAGCGCATTTTTAAAAGAAACTGCTTTAAAAGATTTTCAGAAAAATTAAAACAAGGCAGTATATGATGATATGGGCACATTTCTTTTTTATTAACAATTTATTTTATTCTTGCGTGTGTTTGTACGTACACCACATGTATATGTATGTGCCACATATATGCAGGTGTCCTTGGAGGTCAGAAGAGGGTGTTGGATCTCTGGGAACTGGAATTGCAGGCATTTGAGAGCTTCTAGACAAGAGTGCTAGGAACTGAACTTGGGTCCTCCAAGGAACACTAATTAACCAAGAGCACTGATAAACTTCTATAAGCCCAGCAAAGGCAGAAAGACGGTGAATTCCAGGCTATCCTAGCTACGTAGCAAGATCTCTTCTCAAAAAGCAAAACAAACAAAAGCACTAAGGAATGTAAAGGGGGAAGAGGTGAGGAATATGGTAAAAACCTATCAGGCTCAACCAAAGCTGACAGTCTGACAGTACCACCATCAGGAGAGGTTCCCTTTGTGGCCCATTGAGAAGAGGCACAGCCTCATTTCTCCAAGATTCCCCATAAGGAGAGCAGGTCCTGGGTTGACTCCGAGAAAGCAGGAACAGACCAGCAAGGCCAAGGCCATCCCAGAATGAAAGTTTGGGTTTTTTGTTTTTGTTTTTGTTTTTTGCAGGGGATGGGGTGGTATGGTCACGATCTTGGAAAGAAAGGAAAAAGACATTGTCAGGCAGCTGGAACGATCTGAATCCAATCTGTGAACTGGCTGGCACAGTGACGAGCACTGACACCCTGAACAGGGGCTGTGCGCTAATGACTTTTACCCGTGTGCTTTTGCAAAGGGGAGAACACACTGAAGAAGCAGGTCATGATGCCATTACTCCCAAGGATGAGAGGGAGAGAGGTGTCATGACGAGCTGGACCAAATGAGGTAAAAATGCCACAGCCAGGGCCTCCAAGGGAAGGGCACCCATGAGTTCTCAGTGCATGCTGCCAACATTTTTGTGGGGCAAGAACCATTAAAAGCAGCAGTGACTACTGCTGCTGCTAAAAACTAGAAACAGCAAGTAACAAAACTACCACAAACTCGAAAGTATGACTAAGGGACACATCATGAATGTGAAGTAAACTTCCTGATGACAATGGAAAAGCCTAGGAGGAATAGTGTGCTACAGGAGAAAGGGGAAGTTTTCCAAACTGGGGGTGGGAGGGAAACCCCCTTGATACAGAGCACAGGTAAAACAACAAGATGGGGGACCTCAAATCCACAGTGTGTGTGTCCTGGGGTGGGGAGCAGGGTGGTGGTGGTGCATACCTTTAATCTCAGCATTTGGGTGGCAGAGACAGGCAATCTCTGTGGGTTCGAGCCCAGCCAGGTCTACAGAGCTAGCACCAGGACAGCCAGAGCTGTTACACAGAGAAACCCTGTCTCAAAAAACTAAAAAGGAAGAATACTTCTAAGACCATGTGTGTAGGGAGAGATCTACATACCTATGAAACGCACCCAAATGGGCATGGTCAGAGCTATGGGTACATAGATCTCTCCCTACACATGTGTAACATGAGTGGCTGGACAGCTAGGGCACTGTGGTAGCAGATACTTAAGTAGGGAGTTCTAAGACCAGGAACTGCCAAAGTGAGCAACTGATTAAATCCCAGCAAGCATGAAGCACTGATCTCCACAATGTAGCTGGTTCTCACAGTCCTGGCAAGGTAAACTGACGCTAATTCCAGGCCCCATGTGGCATATTAAGAGTCAGAGACATGAGGTCATTTGTTTGATGCCATCAATAAATGATAGACAGATAGATAATAAAAATAAATAAATAGCCGGGCGTTGGTGGCGCACGCCTTTAATCCCAGCACTCGGGAGGCAGAGGCAGGCGGATCACTGTGAGTTCGAGACCAGCCTGGTCTACCGAGCGAGTTCCAGGACAGCCTCCAAAGCCACAGGGAAACCCTGTCTCGAAAAACCTAAATAAATAAATAAATAAATAAATAAATAAATAAATAAATAAATAAATAGATCCCAGTGCTGAGGTCTCTTTCCCCAGACTTAAGGGATCCCCCTGCCGTGCTGACAGTATCACTTTATAGGCTTTGCTTCTCAGGAGCTTGTTCCAAATCTGCCTCTTATATATAACTCTTAACTTGGAAACTGTCATTTCTGCCTGACACATGCTCAAAATGACACAAATTACCCAGAAACTATTTAAGAGAGTTCAAAATGTCCTTTTAGACAGCAGGGAAAATATGTCTATTCACATACTGAAAACAACAAACAAAAGCACTTACAGTGGTGTCTGGGACACAGCAAACATATTACAGCTTGCCTGGTACTTTGCAAATTGAGGTTCTAAAACTATAGGATTTTTGGTATATGTTTAGACATCTTTATACTCAATACAGAAAATGGTGTACTGGTGTGGTAGAAACTGAAACTGACAGAAGTCATTTGGGTAATTCTGAATCGCTTGTATAACCAGAGCCGTCTAAACAATGCTGTGAGGGGTCAGCACTAAATGCCCTCTGACTTGAGGACCTCTGGCTTGCTTTTAGTTAACTCCAAAAGGACCCCAAGTGGCCACAGGGTAAGAAGTTTTATAGTAGCTTGAATGAGTGAGGTGGTACGAAGGGCACTATCTCAGGCATAGTACCACAGGCCTGAAGAGTCCACAGAGTTGAAGCAGAACCCCCCATAGAGCCAGGCTTCCAGCAGGGCTGAACTTAGCCTAGAGCCGAGGATGGAGGACTGGATGAGTGCCAGGCTAATGCTGCTGAAATAGCGCTGCACCAGTTTGGGGCTTCTGTCTTCCATTTCATCAGTATGCTACTTATTGTACAATGTAGAACACAATATTTATGCCTGTTTTTAGGTATGTGCTTACTAAGAACCCTGATAGAAACAGACAGACAGACAGACAACGTATAAAAAAGCTAGAAGTGATATCGTATGTCTGTAATTCCGGCACTCCAGTGGCTGAGGTAGGATGCTGGTAAGCTGGAGGTCAGCCTGGGCTACACAGTTAAACTATGTGAGGAGGAGGGGGTTAAAATATGAGAGTAATATTTTCCTATGCAATTTCCCTGCTATCTTGGGGGATCCATTCTAAGAGCCCCAGTGGTGTTCGGAAGCCACAGAAACACTGAACACTCTAATGTGACATCGTTACCAGTCACTCTCCCTGCTGGATGTGACAGATAATTAACACTGCCTTCACTTTTCTCCTTTTCATTTGCTCTTAGCATGATTTTTGCATATGATTGCTTATCCTGTCTCTTTACTAAGGTCTAGAACTTTAGCTTTACTTACACAACGCACTTTTACTCCTCTCAAGGCAGGCTTGGCACCACTACTCTTTTACTTTGGGGACATTATGAAGAACATGCAGAGCTACCTGCACACAGTACCACCTGCAATATTACAACAGTCAAGCTGGTCACTAACTGGCTAATGGGCAGTGCATACAGCAGAGAGAGACTGGACAAAGGGACTCTGGTGTTGTGAAGAAGCAGGACCATAAGAGTCCTCGGGATACTATCTATAATGATGTATGACCTAGACCTACAAATTGTTTACTTCTGGAATTTTCCATTTAGTAATTTCAGTCCACAGCTTATCTTGATTAATAGAAATTAAAATTGTGGATAAAGGGCAGAGGACCACTGCACCTGTAATGTGCTTCCTTAAGTAAAGCTATGAAAATTCTAGACCTACTGTATTCAAATTTGAACAATATTGTCTTATCTTAATAATCTTCTGCTCTCCATTCCAGTTGACAGAAAGTGACTTATTTGAGTGAAGACTAAAAGGCTATATTCCTCACAAGGCAAAGGCTGATAGCATGCACAAGTTTTCCCATCATGAACACAGGAGACACATCCATTAATCTCACTAATCCCTGTCACTGAGTGAAGGCCTCCAATGGAATTCAAATCCTCTAATTTGTAATTTGCCTCTCTTTGAGGATCAATACACAAAACATCAGGCTAATGATCTACTTGAATAAAAAGACTTTAAAGTAGTTTTAGTAAAGAGGCATTTGTATCTATTCAATTGTATTTCCCTGAAACTAAAAACTGGACATATAAGGAAGCACAGGTATTCTACTACATATCTACATCTCTTTCCCTAATGGATCTTTGATACTGAAGTCTCTCTCACACACACAAAGCCCCGAAACACTGGGACAGCCAATCTAGCCTCCATAACCATCACATTTCACATGGCCATAATGAATCCAGGAATAAAATGACCAGCACCAGGTGTACTGTGTGAACACAAAGACAGAGGGAGCAAATACAGAAACAACGCGTATAGAGTTCCTCTACAACCCAAACAGGCTCCTCAGTCCACAAACTCCAGCCACATCACCTTATTCACATCTCACTCAGACCCTGGGACACAAGCATGACCCGCACTTACAGGCGAGGCTGACAGGTAACAGTCCCAGGCCTCGCAGCTGGCAGCTGGAGAATTCTGACCAGCCCCTGTGCCCACATACCCCATCCCCACTGCTGACTGACCCCTGGAGCAGACAGGCAAGTAGCCCATCCCTAAAGCAAGAACAACACTGAGCAAAATTGGATTTGCTCCCACTGATCAATGGCTTGCCCTAGCTATGAAGTTAAATTCTGTAACTAGTGTCTCAAGCTCCAAATGACGGAAACATTGATATTTTATAATTTTCCTAAAACTTACTTGTTAAAAATCATTTTAAGGATAAAATGGGTAAGTATTCATTTGTTGAGCAGAAATTGATGCAAAGCATGAATAACAGGTGACATTTTGGGACAAAGACTTTACCTGGAAAAAGTAGAATGATTTGGTGAGCTACAAGCAGAACGTCACACATCAAAAATCAACATAGCTGACATATGTTCAGACCTTAACATTTTATTTACTGCAATGACAACCTCCTCTAAATGACACTACAGCAGCAGAGTAAAACTCAGCCACAGATAACTTACTTTGGTTCTCCTATCTTGATGCCAGGATGCTGCGTGTAGGCGTGGGAGTGTGTACTTGGGGCGGACTTAAACGCCATTGGACAGATAGGGCACTTGTAGAAGACTTCACAGTGAGAGCCTTGAATGTGAGACTTCAGTGCGGCCACATCAGAGTACACAACATTGCAATGTACACATCTGTTAGAGAAACAACACTGTCATTAGCACAGACCACTGAACACCGTGAGTGACATCACTGTGTGAACAGGGTGAAATGAACACATCTCACAGGCCACAGAGGCTTCTCGTGGCTTTTGGAAAGTATTTTGCCGTTTCTGCTTGCAACAGAGTAAACGTAACTTGGTGTGTTTAAGGGGAAAGATAACGGAGAAAATTAATGTACAGATGGTCAGTGTTTGGAGCATCTTTAACCTTTTGAGGAAGGATGTACACAGTAAGGCCAACAGACCGTGAGGGGAGACAGCAAGAACCTGGGGATCCTGAACTGGGGAATGATGTTCATGGGCTGGACTGACACTAGGGCCTGATGTCCTAGTACCACGCCAGAGACCTATCCAATGGAAAAGGCCTTAGGATCTGCACCTACATGCCCTCAACACAGGGACAGCGAGGGGCACGTGAAGAGGACATGGCCCATGGTCTCCTGGCGCACACTGGTGTAGCAACATATTCAAGCGCATGGTGACCCAGATGGTGGTGAAGTCAGCACCTGTGTGTTCTGTCTGCTGGAAACAACCTGACTGTGCTGGTATTTGGTCTTTAAACTACATCAACGCAAACTTCTGAAAAAAAATCAGCATCTCTGAAAATGACTGGCTCCAAGCTTCTGAATTTCTAAGGATGACAATTAGCTCATTCCCTGCTAAAACCTAATCCCATAGACACAACCCTCCAAACTAGCCTCGGACCCCCCAGTTCATCCTCTTTGCACAAGGACCCACAGCAATACTTGCAACACCTCCATTAGATGATGGGCTCTTCTTGATCCCCACACGGAAAACATTTGGGAACCATCGGAGAGAGCATGTCTCACATGTGACTGGATGTTCATGTTCCCAGTCATGTATGTGCAAGTCACCTGGGAAAGAAGTCTGCTGACAGGGCCTGCCCTCCAGGACACCACGCCAGACAGACACTTGTACTACCCTTCTGGGCTTCGAGGCACACATGCACTCATGCAGACACCTCCTGTAAAGCCACACAGAGGATGTGTGTTCTACAGTGTGCATACCTTAGAAGGCATGTTTAGAAAACCATGGTGAATTCTCAGTGTCACTGCCATAAGTAAGGCACAGTGCTCACCAACACAGAACCTAAAACACTGTGTGAGTGGAGAACAAGAAAGATTCGCAGTCCTCCCAATAGACACGAGTCAACCAAGCATTCTGGCATCCTTCTGGGCCACTTAATGCTCCTGTCTGCAGGTCCTTGGTTGTAAAATAAGAACTGGACAGATCATTTTTATTCCCACCTTCTCCCAGAGGCTAGTGACTACAAGGTAAGGAGGGATGCAGTCTAGTCCTGCAAGATCACCTGGTTCCTAGCCTTAGGGAGGATGCCCATCTAATGAAATCAAGCACATCCGGGAAATATAACCATAGACAGATGCTAGAATCTGGCACCAGGGCCTGATGTTTCCACCTTTTCCAAGTGCTGCCCAAGGGTGGACCACACACAGTTTCCCACCAAACACAGGACTAGACTCTATCTAAAGCAAATGACCGAGAAAAGAGAAGCAAAGAGAAGCATACTAATGCCCCAGATGTTCCAGAGCCACTTGAAGCAAGAGAAAAGCTTCCCAGGCTGCAAACAAACTAAAATATGGTTCTTGAGTTGGCAGAAGACATGATAGGGACCCAGTCCCACAGAAGCCAAGAGGAAGTAGAGAGACAAGAAAGAACAAAGAGGGTTAGGGCAACAGAGGCCAATGACAACAAAAAGCGAAGCAGGCATATGGACCAGGGGATTTCAAAGACCCCCTTATGGCACCACAATGCTACTAAACATCTTCCTCACAAGTTCTGGGGTGACAGGCATGTGTCACCATGCCTAGCTCTCTTTATTATTTATTTTTAATTAAAAAATGTTTACACCATACAATTCGACAATAATCTCTTTCTAAATGTCTGTATCAGGAGGCAAGAAAATTCAGAAAAATATCTGACTTTTATTCATAATTGACATTTACAGGCATGGCCATATTTAAGAGATACAATAGGAGCAAAAGACAAGCAAGCACCTGCCTAGGAAGGAAAATCTGCTCTGGCTACAGAAAGATCATACACAGAATGATTACTGCAGAGACGAGAGAAATGACAGAGGTGAGAGAGAGAGAGAGAGAGAGAAACAGGGCAGGACCAACAGGCTGCCAAGCCCAGGCAAGAAGCATCAACTACCCCATCATTTAAAACAGCAGGAGAACTAGGTATGGTGACACTGGTTTCTAATCCCAGGCTGAACTCTGTTTCAGGCCAGCCTGCGCTACAGTAGAAAACCCTTCACCAAAAAAAGGGGGAGGTGGGCAGGGAAAATGTTTAAGAGTTTATATCTTTGCTAAAGAAGTCAACTGAACTAAACTTCACAATAAACATGGGGTCTGGGCGCAGTAATACTTATCGATAATCCTAGCTCTGGAGAGTTAGGCTTAGGAGTGAGGTCAGCCTCGTGTACACAGCAAGTTCCAAGACTGCCAGGGTGTCACAGTAGGGCCCTGTGTCAAAAGCAAATATAGAAAACTCACAAGCATGATGTATTCATAGTCTGTGTACCCTCCAGTCTAGCTGGGAAAAATCTATAGTTAATAAAAACTTGATAAAATTCAAACTGTAAAATTGAAAGCACCCAACTTAAGCAAGTCCGCCTGGGGCAAACGAAGGGGAGTGCAATCTTCTCCCAGCAAGGACTTCTGTCTTAATTTAGGAAAGATCTCAGGAGTAACCATGAGTGCAAAAGGCTGCCCTCTATTCGTTCTGATGCAGCCTTGTTTTCACTGAGGAGACCCTTGGGAACACGGCATTCAGCAGAGGGCAGGCAGGGCAAGCACAGAAGCCACAGCTGCTCTCCCGGCTGTGTGCAGACCTCGCTGCTTCCAAGCAGGTGGTAAGGGTAAAGCACTGCTCTGCATGGGTCTGTGGGTCATCCTGTTTAACTGTCACATCTTAGAGGGTTGGAGGCAAGCATCCCCCAAGTTACAGGGTACACTGGACAGAGGACACTTGAATTTCACACAAGTCATGACAAGCAAATCTGGCACAAAGAAAAGCCCCTGGTTTCTTGTTTCCTAAACTAAAGGTTTCCTACCAGGTTAGATCTCCATCCATAAAGCATTTGAAAGCATAAGAGTAAAAATAGAACTCTGTCTCATATTTTAGTGGTTAGAAAACTAAACAGAGGGGAGATTAAGAGATGGCTCAGCAGTTAGGAGCACTGGCTCTTCTTCAAGAGGACCCGAGTTCAATCCCAAGCTCCCACATGGCAACTAAAAACCATTTGTAATTCAAGTTCCAAGAGATCTGAGCTTCCTCGAGCCAATACACATACATGGTGAACAGACAAGCATAAATGCAGGCAAAACACCTACACACAAAAAAATTTAAAAAGAAATAAATCTTAAGAGAAGGAAGAAGAAACAGAAACACAATTGGGCAGAGCCACCCAGGAATTAGTGATCCCAGAACATAAACTAAAATGAAAAAGTCATCAAACCACACCAATGCTACCTTATCTTTATAAAACGTGTGACAGAATTAAACTAAACAAAACCATTGCACATTAACAGTCTGACCACACATAGTTAAGATAAACATATGCCATGGTGAAACATCTGCTAAAACAAAGACATGTCACCCATTACACAGTCCCTGACATAGGACCATGACATAGACCCTTGAGGGGCTTTGATCAGGTCAGGTGTAAATGGGATGGGGGCACACTTAAGAAGGTAACAAAGTTTGAGAACAAAGTCTATCATCACCTAACACTGGATAAATTAACATCAAAGTTGCCAGATGTCAAAAAATACACATCTGGGGATCTCCAGAGCCAGTGAAAAAATGAAAGGGCCAGAACTGGGGGAAGCAGAAGGGAAGGACTTTTGGAGGAGAGGCTCCAAAGACTGATAAGAGAAAAAATATTCACCTGACCAACCCTTCTGTGTGGTTACAGCAATTCCTCATGTTTGTATTTTTAGAAGAGAAATGCAGAAATGCATGGTATTCCTGCAGAGGATAAATATGGGGAGTGCGACAAATATGTGCAGGGGTGGGGGAAGGCTGAAAGGTTGTAAAGGCTGTCTGTCAGTCATGGCCACGCCCCATAACATGAACATTTACCTAGAGGGGTTACCCATTTATCCCCATCTGTATGGACTGGCAAGGCCAACATGACTTTAAACTTGGATTCAAATGGGTCAACTCTACTACAAATGAGCGAAGTTCCCAGAGGGTCTGTGAGTTGCAGTGTCACCCTGAGAGCTGTGTAAGTGCACAGGCCCTTCCAATCGCAGTGCAGTTATCAGTGAACAACTTGCACAGAAGTGAACAACATACTGACCGAAAACCAACTCTCCGTGTGTAGTGCAGACAGTTCTTGGTGACGTGGGTCTGGAAGTGCACCGACCTGCAGATGGCCCCGCACTCGGGGCAGGTGTAGGGAGATTTGTGCTGATGGATTCTCTGGTGTGAAGCATAGCTGCACTGGTTAGGAAGCAGCATCTGGCAGACAGTGCAAGTCTTCTAAACAAACCAAAGGGGGAGACACGATTGGTCCTGCTACGCATGGCTATATGCAAGCACCTTAGTAAGCTGTACAGTACTTATGCGTCTCATTTCAAACACTGCTACAAACGACTCTAAAGCCCAAGGGAGGAGCAAACCTGAAGATTACACATTTAATGGAAACTTTTCACCCTGTGAAATAAAACGGTTAGAATTACAGGGGTGGGCTCGTGCCCAAGTGTGAGCTAAAGGAAACACCAGCTCTACACGCTTCCAGTCCTGTTGCCTTTGCATTTCTGTCCAGAGCAAAGGTCCTCCTGCAAACGGTGCTGACAGGTCAGCTCTGCTACACCTGGCCACGCTCGTGAGCCCAACAGGAACTGTTGTTCCCACACTCCAGAACTTGCTTCAGGAGAACAGAAATTCCCCCAGGTTAATCCAGTTTCTTCTTTTTATTTCCCAATCACTCCAGTTACTTTAAATCTTAAATACAGGAACACAAACGGGAAGGCTTAGGAATTGGTTTTCTTTTTGTACCTAAATTGGCCTTCAAACGGATGAACTGGCCATAATATGATTAATAATTAAAATTTTAAAAACTCAAGGTCAGATACATAAATTTGGACACTAAATTGAAATTTGCAGAGCATAAGCAATTTTACAAAGCTTAGAATCTGACTGTATTAAAATAATGACTGAAATCTTTGAAGAAAAACATTTACTTATCAAAAAAACCCAAATATTCTATTTTTCATCCCTAGATATAAGTATAAATATGTATTTAAAACATAAACCAAAAAATACTCAGTCAGTCAATATAAACTGACTATATCCTCAAAACAAATTCAGAGTGTGAGAAAAAATTCATCCCTTTTCCAGACATTTGTGCAAAAGCAAGTACCTTTTGCATTCTAAAATAAACCATTTGGGTTAAAGTCAAAGAAAGCCTCAAACCATAGATTTGTCTAAGATTAAAGACACTCGTTCAGATTGACAGCCGTTTTTAAAAAATATTTTTAATTCTTCATAGTTATTTCAAATTAAGCCCAAAATTTTAAGTTTTGAATTGACTTATACTAAGGAAAAAAGAAAACTCACTGGAAAACTATTTCTTGTCAGGCAGTGGTGGTACACGCCTTTAAATCCAGCACTCAGGAGACAGAGGCAGGCAAATCTCTGTGAGTTCAAGTGGTCTACAGAGCAAGTTTCAGGACAGCCAAAGCTACACAGTGAAACCCTGTCTTGAAAAACCAAAAAAGAAAGAAAATTATTTCTTGGTTTTTCTCCTAAAAGAACTAAAATGCCAGTTTTATCCCATAAAACATTTATTATAATCACAAAATAAGAGCAATACAGGCAGTGCTGATGAGGTTAACGTCATTAAAAAAAGATGCCACTCCTAGTAACCCATTCTTCAAAGGTTAAAACATGCCACAACAACGAAACCAGTCAACAGGGTCACTAGTTACAAAAGCCTGCTATCATTACATAGTCATTGGCAATCACTCACTCTGTGAACTACAGTCTACCACCTTCTCCACAAGCCATTATCCCAGGTGAGAATTATGGCAACATCTTAGTGTACACTTACTTGGAAAGTAAACTCATACTTTCAATTCTAAAAGAAGTCAAAACACATTATACATGTATGTCTACACATACACATATGCACATATTCATAGGTATATACACACATACTCATGTATGCATATAGATATAAATATAGATTTAGATATGGATTGGTTTCATTTCACCATGAGCCAAGCAGTGAATTAAGTTCTTTAAAATACATTAGGAAGTTTACATAGATTTAAATACATTGCATCATTTATTTCTCATAGTCTAGGAAGACAATTAACACCTCCGTTTTACAGAAGTAGAAATAAGACTTAATGGAACGTGCCCTGCGCCCCACTGTTACTAAGGGCAAGAATCAGGGTTCAATCAGGCTCTGGTGGAGGTGTGGTGGAAAGAGTGGGGTCACATGAGTTGAAAAACATGAATAAACCTGAACATCAACGATGACCCATTGATGTTAACAAATTAGTTTCTCTTTCCCCATAGCTTCACCCATATCTAAAACAACATGATTATATTACTTTTGTAACAGTATAACGCCAAAAGAAAAGAAAATCTAAAAGAACAAAGATCATATGTTTCATAAAAGCTGAGAACAAAACAAAACAAAAAAATCTTACATTATCATCCTTGAAGAAATAATAACAATGGTTGCTCTTTACAATACACACAATATGCACAACTTATTACACTCGTCACCATCACTGACATCACCCTTATCACAGCTCCTCCTTTCCCAACCATGCACAGCCATCAGTTGAGGCTCTCCACCCATTTCAGACCCAGCAGTGAAGAAGAAAGGATGATGACTCCAGACTCAAATCAAATGTATCCAATCCTGGAGCTCTTGAAAAGGGAGGATGCACCAGTGACCGATCACAGCGGATGGCAGGGAGCTTACCTTCAGTTTATACAGGTGCACACGCATCTGTGTACAGACCCCACACTCCTGTGCTTCTCTCTTGGCTTACTGTTGCATGCCTCACCTTCATTCCATTTGGGTTGCAAGCTCTCTCCTCCTTGATGTTTGCATAGCGCCCATGTTTCTGAACTCACATGACACTTTCCTTAACTGCTGCATAGCGCCCATGTTTCTGAACTCACATGACACTGTTGCCTTAACTGTGCTGCCTCAGATTGCATAACTGTCCTTGCTGCAGATAGTGGAGATGGGATGCTTTGAATTCATGGCTAAATGCACATTGTCTAGGCTCAGAGGCACACTGAGCACAGGACAGCATATGGATTCTTTGTGGTCCGACCTTCCCTTCCTTTTTGTTTAAGTCAAAGAAAGTTTTCCTAATTGGCACAAACTAAGGCTACTGGGCAACTCGGCAGGAGAAGCAGCCATTAAACCCAGTGGCGCGTGGCTCAGAAAGAGAACAAAACAGAAGAAACGCATGCATGTGGATCTCTAGACATTAGGCCTGACGCCATCAGAACACGCAGAAAGGTTCTGATGCTTGGGAGGAGCAGCTAATTCTCTGGGGCAGTTTCATTTGCTCGGGGGATGATTTTTCAATTAAGTTTACTTGTCAGTAGTAAAGCAGCACTAGCAAACTAGGTAAAGGGAGCTGAAAAGGAAGGTCACAGTCCTTGCTGAGCCTGGTGGGCCAGTAGCCAGAGGCCAGCGGCCAGCCGCCCAAAATTGACAGCTGGCATAACATCGCAGGCTGGAGGAGGGGTGGGGCCGGATGTCCGATTAAGAAGTTGGACTGTGGGACTTTGCATAAGTGAGGAATTACCTGGGCAACAAGGAAAACAATTCTTTGCTTCAATCTGTTCTCTTAGGGAGAAATACAGTTGGAGAAAAGTAAAAGGGGAAGGGTGAGAAAAGCTAGAGAACACAACTACACAAACACCCACTCACAGGTAAATCCCAAGGCCTGCAAAGCCAGACTACCACTGCAGCTCAGTGGGACCCAGCTCTTAACCCAATCACTGTGCCCTTTACTGCAGTTCCATAACTGCATGGACAGTAAGATGACGTCTTCATGGTCACAATAAAGCATGACTTTCACATTTTCACAATTACAAAACACTTTACTCCACTTTCTCATGATTAGAAAAACGCTTTACTCCATATCTAACTTAAATGGGAGTGACACAAGGAATGTGTCACATCCTGACTACATGCATCCTTTGTTCCCAGGCCACTTGCCACAATCAGAATCCCTAGCAAGAGCTGACTAAATGAGGTAATCCACAGGACACTGTATGACAGCACACAGAATCTACTTAGATGGCTACTTCTAGAGAATACAGATTTGTTAAGAATCAGTAACATGACCATGTAAACTGCTGGGGCAGGACTAGTCTGAACAAGACAGAAGTGGCAGTTTTGGGAACAGTGCTGAAAGTCGGTGGCCCACATCTGTAATCCCTGCGTTTGGGCAAGAGGATCATGAGTTCAAGACCAGCCTGGGTAACAGCAATACCCTGTCAGCCAGGTGGTGGTGGCGCACGCCTTTAATCCCAGCACTCAGGAGGCAGAGGCAGGCGGATCTCTGTGAGTTCGAGGCCGGGCTGGACCGATAGCCTCCAAACCCTGTGTCATAAAACCAAAAAAAACAAAACAAAAACAAAAAACAAAACACAGCAAGACCCTGTCTACAAAAATAAAACCCAAAGGCCGGGCGTTGGTGGCGCACACCTTTAATGCCAGCACTCGGAAGGCAGAGGCAGGCGGATCTCTGTGAGTTCGAGACCAGCCTGGACTACCAAGCGAGTTCCAGGACAGCCTCCAAAGCCACAGAGAAACCCTGTCTCGAAAAACCAAAATAAATAAATAAATAAATAAATAAATAAATAAATAAATAAATAAATCAAACCCAAAGGCTGTGAGTACAACTTAGCAGTGAGGGAAGCGGGTAGAAAAGAGTAGACACAGGGAAACTCAGTCTTCAGACAATGATGGCGTAGGGTGGGATGCTAATGACATCTAGAAATGAGAACAGGCAGAACTGCTCCTAAGAATTTAACGTACAGTACGCTGGGTTAAAAATTCCCAGAAAGGGGCTGAAGACATGGCTCAGCAGTTAAGAGTATGCACTGATCTTGCTGAGGACCGGATCCCAGAACCCGCATCCCCCTTATCAGGCAGCTCACAATTGACTGTACCTCCAGCTCCAGGGGCATCTGGCCAGGGAGAGCTACACCTGCACACGCACACTCACGCACACACATGGGTATAGGAATATGGGCATTCATGTGGAGCTCCAGAATGTAGGTCCCAGGGATGAAACTCAAGCTCTGTATGGCAGGCACATTTACCTGCTGAGCCATCTCACCAGTTCCAAAACATAAATTGTTTTCATTGCTCAGAGGGGCTGGAGAGGTGGCTCCACAGTCAGCTTACAGCCATTAAAAACTCCAGTTCCAGGGGACCCATGCTCTCTTCCAACCACTGTAGGCACCAAACATGTCGGTTGTACACAAAC